TTAATCTACAAGATCGGCAGCTGCGAGTTGCCTTGCAGCACCACTCTCTGCTACAGGAGGAAATGAGTTCTCCCTGCATGACAGGAGATGCACAGCGCACCAGAGTCCACTGCAGCGTATCGCCGGTCCTGATTCCAACGCTCAAGTGAGAACATCAAACTGGACACATTCAGACATGCTCCTTTATCCTACCTTCCCACAGTACAGGAAATAGATCATATACAGTCTTTTGCAATCCTGTAGAAAGAGCTGGAACCCTGCATCCCACAGAAGCATGTACAAGCACCAATTCCCTCAACCCCAGAAAGGGAATCCACATGCTAGGAAGTCAACCATCTTCCCAAATCAGTGGACAAATACCCACTACATACTTCGTTCTTCTTGGGACACTGCAATCATTCATTACACAGTACTGTATTTGACTAGCCCTCAATTTACTGGTATTTATATTGTATCTAAATAGTGAGATGGAGCCTTTTTATATGTTGTTGATTATTCTGCCCAATAACTTGTCCACTTTTCTACTGGAATTTTACTTCAACTGTTCTGTAAGAATTTAGTATATTGTGTGCGTGTGTGTGTGTGTGTGTGTGTGTGTGTGTGTACGCATTGCTTGGAATTGAACCCAGGGCCTTACCCATGCATGGTAGGCAAGCCACTGAGCCAGTATTTCAGCCATGGAATTTATACATTACTTCATATTTATACATTATTTCCTATTATTTCTCCTTTGCATTACTAAATGTTTAATTCTTTAAATAGTGCATTTTATAAAGAATATTTCATCATATGGGGAGATATATTACTTATTACTTTTCATTTTAGGTTTGTTTTATATTGTTTTCTTTAGGAAGACCTCTGCTGCTCACAATCTATCTCTCAATCTATGAGTTTGTGTATATCTATTATACATTTTGTTCTTCAAAAAGTTGGATGGGTTATTTAAAGAAGTATTTCATGTTAGTATTATAGACTGCAGACAGACCATAATACCTAATTTCAAAACATATTAAACAACTATAATATTCAAAAGAGCACTGAGATGCCATAGCTGTAGACACCTATGTCACTGGAACAAAATAGAGAAGTCAGCAAGAAATTCATGCATTTATGTTCAATGGAGTCTCAACACACTTGCCACACGGAATAGAGAAAACACAGTCTCTTCAATAAGTGCTCTTTGTACAACTGGACAATCCCATGTGGAAGAAGAAAATCAGACCCTTGTCTCATATCACATTATACTCAAAACTCAACTCAAAATTGATTAAAGCTTTAACTGCAAGCCATGACAATGTAAAAGTTATACAAAAATTATTGGGAAAAGCTCCACAACATTGTTCAGAACAATAACATTTTGGACGAAAACTCTAAGGAATAGGCAACAATAGCAATAATAGACAGATTGTATTACTTTCAACTGCAAATCTCCCACACATTCAAGTAAACAATCAACATAGTGATGAGACAACATGAAGAATAAAAGAAAATGTTTCCAACATGTCTAAAATTGGATTAATGTGCACAATATATGAGAAATTAAAACTTACAAATAGGATGAAAACACAATATAATGTATAAATGGGAAAATAATCTGAATAGACTTTTCTCAAAATCAGTCAAATGGCCTACAGGTATGTGAAAAACTGCTGCACATCACTAACAATAGAGAAATGCAAATTAAAACTGCATACATGTTAGAAGGGATATTTTTAAAAGATGAAAGATAAATCTCTCATCAGCGGTATGGATAACAGGGATCACTTGATGACTGTATATGAGAATGTGATTGGTGTCACTGTAATGAAAAACATCTCAGAGTTTCCTCAATAATTAAAAAGACGTACAGAGTGGTTATCTGCATTTAGATAGGAGGGATTGGAAGATGATAAGAAGTGGTTAAAGTATTTCCTTTTGGGAGAACAAAAATGGTATAATTTGATTATGTTCATGGTTGTATAACTCTATTAAAGTGCTAAAATCTACTGGATCTTACACTTCGTAAATGGAGTGAAGTGCAAAAATTAGTGCAATGAAACTGTTCTTTAAAAAAGTAAAATAGAGCTACTATATCATCCTATGTAGGATTGGGGAACACAATTGATATTTGTAAAGATCTGTATGTATACATATCTTAGTTACTTTTTTCATTGCTGAGACAAAACAGCCAACAGTCAAAATTAAAGGAGGAAAATTGTATATCAGCTCACAGTTTGTAGAGGTGTCAGTCCATAGTCGACTGGTTCCGAGCAGGACAGCATAGGATGGGGCATCATGGAGGAGAAACAGTCCCTGGTATGGCATGGCAAGTAGAAGGCAGCAGGCAGCAGGCATCACCAGCAAGCCTACCTTCCCTCTCTCCCTTTGTCTTTCATCTAGGCTAAAAGCCTTTTCATTGGTGACACCCACAACCAGGGTGACTTGCATTATCCTCACCCAGACCTATGCCAGTTCCAATCAGTGCACTAATTTAAGATCCCACACCCTTAATCCCTGAATCACATTCCTAAGTTCAGCCAGCTCTGTAAAATCTCTCTTATGAGCACATGAGGCTTTGGGCGGTTATCTAGATATAAGGCATAATGACATACATATGAAAAACAAAATCAGTATGTTGAAGAGACAAGTGCACATTGATGTTCACTGCAGCACTATTTGTATCAACCAAGGAAAAGAATCAGCCTAATGATCTGTCATTGAATAACAGAGAATGATGATGTGTATGTATACAGAGGCACCCTAGCTTATGAACTTCTTTCCACCTTTCTGGTGGTAAATCAAACTGGGGAAGAACTGCATCAAACTCCTCCATAAGGTCAACATTGAACCAAACCATTGGATTTGACTTAGTTCTCTTCCAATTCAGTTTGTTCTTAGTGTTTTTCTTTTTTTCTGGTACTGGGAATCTAACTCAAGACCTTGTGCTTGCCAGGCAGGCACGGCTCCACTGAGCTACATCCCAGCCCTAGGAATTTGATTTCTGATGACAATCATGGAAAGAATAAACTTCAAGAAATGAGTACCACTGGATTAGCTTGCAAAACAAAACGCTCTTATGTGTAACAAGGTTCATGAGCCATAGCATCTTATATTAAGTGAACTAAACCAGGCACAGTAAGACAAATACTGCATGATCTCCCTTGTATGTAGAGTGTAACATTTCAGATTCACAGAAAAATTGTGTGGGATGATGGTTATGGGGTTGCAGGTGTGGGTTGATGAGTTCTTGGTCAAAGGATACACAATTTCAGTAAAATAGAATGGAAAATTCCAAGGAATCGTTCATACAATATGATACTATATTTGATAATATATTTTATTCTTCAAAACTCCTATCGCACTGAATTCTAATTTATCTACTGTAAAAAAATATGTTTGTGTTATAATACAAATAAATGTTAATTAGTTTAATATACTCATTGCAGAATGTGTGCATATTTCAAGTCATCATGGTGTACTTGAAAAATTACACACAAATTTTATTTTTTAATTAACATTGTTGTTAATACTATTCATATCATAATGCAAATAGTACTGTCAGAAATGGAAATAAAATTGACATATTTGAAACAAAAACAAAAGCATGAGAAAAGTAAAAACTAACAACAAAGCCTTTGTACATAGGGAAGGGTAGAGGGGGTAAAGGGACGACAGGGGTCTGGGGAGAAAATAAGAACCAAGATACATCATGTAAAGGTGTAAGACCCCAATGATGAATGTAACTGTACTGCATACCTACAAAGTACCAATAAACTCAATGAGGAAAAAATTTAAGTGGTAAGAATACAGGAAACAACAAAACAAAACAAAAAACCCACCAAGGATTAATTGTTCCTGTCCTTTGAGGGATAGTTAGACCTGTATGTTTCACTTATTTTCTTAGTATATTGCTGTAATTGAGGCAGAAATTTTGAATGTTTTCATTACATTTTACATGAAATGATATACTATAACTAGAAAGCCTTGGAATTTAAATATGACCTATCTTAAAGTGCTTTTTAGAAATTTCTGACCTTAACACTTAAAATGTTCATTTAATTGAATAATTTAGGTTCTTTAAAAAATGTACAATATTTCACATGGAATATGTGGTAACAGTTCTCTTGTAAAATAAGCAGATAAGGGATTATTTTAAAGAAATAAATACAAATCATCAGTAATGACTTAATTATCAAGGAATAAAAAATTGAGTGTTACTATTACTTCAATTGGATTTATTTATTTGTTCATTTCCCTCCAATTAACCGGCCTTCTTCTCTGATTTACCAGCATTGCATCCCACTGCTTTCTGACAGATCAAGAAGGAACTCGCTTTATTTTTAGAAATGTCTATGTTGGCTTTCCGTATACACTGATCTTCAGCTTTGCTTGGCAGAAGGCCTTTTCTTACTGCTTGCACTAGGGCTCTACTTGCTCTACTGAATACTGATGGACTTGATGAAGATTGTTTTGTACCAGAGCTAACAGGAATTTTTGAAGATTGGCTCAATGACAGAGTTTGGCAAGATGATGGTGACTTTGTCGAAGAAAAGTGTGATTGAGGCACAGAAGACAGTGTGGACTTTGAACTTGATGATCTTTGTTGCTGTGGAATCGGATGCCTTGTTGATTGTCCAACTGAAGGTCTTTCTGATGGAACAACTAAAGTTCTTGTTGACTGTACACCTACACTCCTTGATTGGGCAAGTCTTGATGGCTGGGCACATGAATGTTTTCCTGATGAAAGTGAAACTTGTGATGCTTGTGGACGTGAAAATATCGACAGTGGAGCTGAACTTTGTGAAGATTTTTGAGTTGAAACTCCAGATAAAGGTGCAGTTGATGATTTTGCTAATGAAAATGGATATCTTAATGGTGCTGAAAGGGAAGACCTTGGTGTTGACTGAACTGAATATCTCGACACTCTTGTCACAGAATGCTTTGGTGGTTGTGCAAATGTAGACCTTGCAGATGGAAAAACTACAGATGCTGGTGACTGTATAACTGGAGCATATCCAATTCGATTTGTAACTGTGTCTTTTGTTTCAATTCTACGTGAGATTGCTTCCAGAGGAGACATGGTTGGAGACTGTCCTTTATCTTCCTCTGGTGGGTATAGATCATGAGTAAGCACTTCATAATGTTGAATAAATCTCCTTTATCTTCCTCTGGTGGGTATAGATCATGAGTAAGCACTTCATAATGTTGAATAATTTTACGTACAGATGGAGATAAGTCTACATTAGTTGCAGGAAGTGGAAGACCTGCATCAGGAGTAGTCTGGAGGCGTAGCAGTTGGGATGTTGCTGAAGTTCCCAAAACAGAGGATGGAGACTGAGATGGGGAATGGATGGCTCCAGGATCCTCTGCCCTCTTTGGCTGTCTTAGGCGAGCAAGCCAATCAGGCGGTAATGGAGGTGGCGACAGTGGTGCGGTGGGGCTCACAAACACCTCTGTTTTATAATGAATGGGAGGTTGGGGTTCCACTTTTGCTCCCTTCCCAATTCCATAATGGACATATTTCTGTGTGTCTTTGAGGTATTCAGTTCCACTCCTTAGTGAATACAGAGGGCTGGCTAATGTTTTTCCTCCAGCTCCAGTTAAAAACCTACTTACTTCACACCCAAATGAATGCATGGGAAATGAGAAACGTTCCACTGGTTGATACACCCGTGAATAACACATCTCTTCCCAGGCAGCTTGGCTGGGGTCCACTGACCCATCATCTTGTATGCTTTGACGTAGAGGCGCACTCTCTGGTTCACTGGGATGATAGAGGTGCCCCTGCTCCTTCAGTTTCTCTTGCTTTTGTTCTTTACTCTCAGCTACAATATTCTTTTTACAAATTCCAAAGTTATAGGAGCTATCAGAAAAATCCTTTAAACCTGTATCATGTCGGTAATTAAAAGTAGGTATATTGAGAGCTGATGTCTGCCCACAAGCATCACGTCTTGCATACATTGTAACAGGTAATGACTGGGACGAGGACACCTGCTCTGTTGGAAGAGTAATTTCTTCATCCTCCTTTGATTCTATAGCCTGCAGTTGAGATTCTTTGTTCGTACCCTGGTGGGTAATAACATCCATTAACTGGATTAAATGATTCTGTAAAACCATAAATCTCCAAGAGGCATCAGCACTCTCTTTGGATATTTGATCCACAAGATCGTCAGCACAATTACACAGATCATGTACTTGAATGGCTATGTTATGTAAAGACGTGTGCATTACATGAATTTTCTCCTCTTGGGATTCTATTGGCTTTACCTGTTTAGCTCGATGATCTTCACCTTCCTCTCCTTTGAATGGCATTCCAGACATGGTTGCGCTTTAAGAGTTTGGAGGCTCTGCTGCTTCACTGCTCCGTAAGCATCCTCACCTTGCGTTAGACCCCTATGGGAATCTAGCTACTTTTGAGCCTGGCCAGAAGCATCTGACTCTGGCAGGGGCTGCTTTGATCTGAGGGTGAGAGCTCTCAGTCTCCGGTTTTACATCAGTAACCAGGCAACACAGCTGTATGTCACAATGATGTGGTTGAGTCAGCAGTGAGAGAAGAATGCTGCCTGGTCACAGCCACACCCCTATTGGCCTACTCCGCTGGGGCTGGTTTCACAAAGGTGGGGAGGAGGCACTCTGGAGAGGAAGAAATAATGCTTTTCATCTAACCTCTCATTAGTGTGTCTGGCTAGAGCACAAACTGTATGAGATTCCCTAACTTAAAGGGCCTTAAATACGACCTATGGCTTCCATTACTCTACCATTATCTTCTAGTTGTGATGTTAACTCTGAGCTTCATTTGTATATCACTCGGCCGGGTCAAACTTGTACTTGTTTTTGTCATCTACTCCAATATGCCTCTTCTCCCTGTGTCCTTTAGCTTTTGAGTAAGGTGGTTCCATCAGTTCACATGTCCATGCCCCAAACCAGAAGTTATGTTTGTCTTTGACACTCTTCCCATCCCTCTGTCCCACTCCCAGTCACCTAGGCTGGTCAGTTGTACCCCAAAATATACTGCAACCTGGTTCCAACTCCCTCCACCTGCCCACCCACCACTGCAATACACGTGATCGCTCTCTCTCTCTCTCTCTCTCTCTCTCTCAAAAGGTCTTTATGATCCTTTCTTGTCCTTTTCCAATGTATTCTCAATCCTGCTTAACTTTCCATTACAATCCACTGTTATCAGAGAATATACTTTTCATGATTTCTGCTTTTTAAATTTACTGAGAGTTGTACTATAATATATTATTTGTTTCTCCTGCAGAAAGTTTCTGGTGCACTTGAGATTATTAGATGATGAATTCTACATATGTCTTCTGATAGGGTTTTAGTACTTGCTGCTGCTTCAATGTTCTATTTCCATATTGATCTTCCTTACAATTGTATTTAACATTGAAGATAAAATGTGGAAATCTCTGACTATTGTTCAATAGTAACATTATTTCTTATCTAAATTCAGTCTGCTTTTGTTCTTTACTACTTAGAGATTTTATGAGTCATGTATTGTACCAGTTATTCTAACTTCCTGATAAATTGAGCATTTCATCATTATAATAGTCTCCCTTTATCTCTACTGGCATTTCATGTCTTAAAGAATATTTTATGATATTGTTCTATCTAGTGCATCTCTTGTGACTGCTTTTAGCTTGATATTTTGCCCTACTATTTTTAACATATTTGTATCATTAAACTTTGTCTCTTATACTTGGGTTATATTTTTAATATAGTATACTCTAGGCTCATTAGTTATGAAAGAGTTTCCTATTTTTTAAAAGCTGTGAATGCATATTGAGGCCATACTCCTCAGTGAAAATAAATAGGACACCAGAGGAAATACCAAATAGTTTCTCTGGTGTGAGAAACTGAAAGTGCAGATAAGAATCCTAATGTACAATAGATAATGTGAAACAGGAAGAAAAGGTCTAAAGGGGAGGAGGAAGTGGGAGGAGAAGGGGAAAGAAAAGAAGGGAAAGGAAAACTATTAGAAAAGGAAAAAAGTCATTGTAAATAGGGAGGGCTGGAAAGGTTGAAGGGAGAGCAAGGAAATGGGGAAAAATTAAGAACTAAGAAACATCATGTATAGGTACAAATTCCCAAAGATAAATGTCATCATCTTGTATACCTAAAATGAGCCAATAAACCTAATGGAAAAGAGCTGAATAGCAAACTGTTATATATGTACAATACATTTTTCAATCTATTTATACAGTATTGGATACTTTAACTTATAAGACAGCATAGAGTTGAGTCATATTACTTTTATTCAAACTAATAATCCTTTTTTTATAACTGCATTTTAATTAATCCACAATTCGTGTTATTACTAACATTTCTAGATTTATGGCTGATATTTAACATTTGGTTTTCTACATGTCTCCTTTCGGGTTGTTTTTTTGTTTTTGTTTTGTTTTGTTTTGTTTTGTTTTGTTTTGCCTTGTACTACTTTCCTCAGAATTATAATAACTTAATTCATGAAAACTGTGCATAGTCTTTCTACTTTGCCACTCTTTCTTCTTCCCTTTTTGTGCTGATATATGTATGTATATATGTGTGTGTTCCATGCATGTTACAAAGACAATAACATATTGTTATAATTTTTCATTGAAAAATGTATATCCATTTCAGAAAGAAAAGAAACCATTTATGTATTCATACTGATTGTTCTATTTACTGTTTATTTAAAATGCGTAATTCTCTTATATATTTCTGAGAATTCAACTGATCATCTGGTATAATTTACTTGCTCTAATAAAACTCTGGTCTCACCATCTCCTTCATGTGATTGGTCATATTAATTTTCATTACATTATAGACCAAACAGTATAACCATATCCATTTGATTTCATATAATTTATGTTTAAAGTATTTAGGAGAAGAAAGAAAAATCAATATTTCTTTGTCATTGTCTATTTTTCTTCTGTATCAGAGCACCACACACCTAACAATTTACAAAGAAGAGAAAAATATTTTTCACAGCACTAAAGATTGAGAAGTTCAAGAACAAACACCCATAGGTTCATTGTCTGGTGAGGATTCAATCTCTCATTCCAAGACAATGCCTTGAATGCTGCCTTCTCTTCCACTGAAATGTTATTCATTAATTGATGTTAATGAAATATTATTCAGTTGTATACAATGAAATGTTATCTGGCCTTAAAATTACAAGTTATTCTACCACATGGATAAGCCTTGAGGACATTTTGCTAACTGAAACAAACCATTCACAAAACACAAACATTGTTTGGTTCCAATTATTTGAGATAAGCAGAGTGGTCAAAGTTAAAAAGACAGAAAAGTGAAGTGTTGGCTCCAGAAGATTAGGAAAGACAGGAGGTTACTGTTTAGAAATTATGGAGCTTTGATTTGGGAAGATAAAAAAGAATTATGAAGATTGAAGGTGGTGATGGTTGGATATTATGAATGTTTTTAATAGCACCAAATAATAAACTTGAAATAGTTAAAATGATAAATGTATGTTACGTGGTTTTTGCTTAAGATTACTTTTTTTCCTCATTGAGTTTATTGGTACCTTTTAGGTATACAGTACAGTTACATTCCTCATTGGAATCTTGCACCTTTACATGACAGGTCTTGGTTCTCATTTTTTCCCCTTATCCCTGTCCTCCCTTCACCCACTGCTCCCTTCCCTATTTGCAAATACTTTATTTCCATAAGGAGTTTAATGTAAAAATGCGTTTATCTCAACTGTCAGTTATTGTGTATCAGACTATATATGTTTAGTTTTATTACTACCACACTGTCTTTGTCACTTTAAATCAGAAAGGGGTCTTTCAGCACATCTTTCTTAATGTAGTTTTGGTTCTTCCAGTCCTCTTAAGTTTCCATATGAAATTTAATATCAAATGATATATAGGTTTTAATAGGAATTACATTAATTCTGTAGAAAAATGTTAGTAATATTGCGATTTTAGCAAAATTAAACATTCTAATCTTTGAATATGTGATATATTTTCAGTTTTTTAGGCTTAAATTTGTTTCTGTATTTCATAGTTTTCCAAACATAACTTTTGCATTTTCTGTAAATAGTTTTGTCAACTTTTTATATTAATATGAAATAATTTTCCATTGTGATTTTCAGATTTTTCATTTTGAAGTGTATTAATAAATCATTTTGTATATTCACCTTGTATCATTCAAGCTTCCTGACTTTGTTTTAGTCTAAGATTTTTATTGTATTCCATATTTTTTTATACACATGATCTCATAATTTAGAAATAGAGATAATTTTTCATCTTGCATTCTACTACAGATACTTTTAATTTAATTTCATTGCTTAATTGTGTAAGCTAGAACAATTGGGATTGTTTTGAATGGAAGTCATGAGATTTAGACATTTTTTATCTTCTTCCTAACACTGATGATCAAGGGTGATTTTTTCTGAAAAAAATTATGTGTAGTTTTTACCTGTGGGTTCATTGTACATGCTTTTCATCAGATTGAGAGATTTCTGTTTCTACCTTCTGATGGTTTTACCATGAAGCTGTGCTGAATTTTTTTCACATATTTTTATTGTTAAACTGATCATTAATTATTATTTTTTCATCTACTCTTTGAGCATTCTCCATTTTCTCCTTCTCTTCTGGTTTCTAATAAGATGGATGCTATATGGTTTGTTACAAACAGAAGTTACTAAGATTCTTTTATAACTTCTTAATCTATCTTCTCTCTGTTGAGATTGGGTATATTTTATTATGTTCTCTTCAATTTTACTGATTCTTCTATCTCCTCCATACTTCTGGTTTTGCCTACAAATACACGTTTTGTTTATGTATTATTCATTGATGAACATTTCAATTGCTTATTTTTATATATATTTTCTCTTTCTTGAGATTTTCCATTGGCTTTCTGAGCCTCTCTCTCCCAGGATCGAACTCAGGATTTTGTTCTTGGGGGGCAGGTGGAACAACCACTAAGTCAAATCCCCAGGCCTGAACCTTTTTCTTTTAAATCAGTGTTGTAACAAATTATAAACTGCCCATCCAAGGTACTGGAAATCATTGTGGCTAAAGAGATTTTAAAATGACTTAATCTGGATGCCCTTCCATTTCCAAAACATTGGCAATTTATTACTATTACCATCATCATCCTGAAAGTGATGTTTGCATATGGCCAGATTGTTCAGATTTCCACCTGTTGAGGACGATTATATTTTATTAGACTCCTTTAAAAACGCGAAATTTGAACATGCTATTCATTAAGAACATAAAGATAACATCTAGAATTCTGAATTTTGAGCACATTACTAAAACATAAATGTTGGTGACTAAGAAGTCTTATGGTGTAGTTATTGTTAAAATTATAGTTTACACGACTGTCAATAAAGGAGAAAAACTATGAACCAATTGAAATAATTTAGCTTTTATATGGTTTCCTGACTTACTGTCTAAGTGCTATTCTCTTTATCTACCTCAAATGAATGGTATCCCAACACTTGGCTTTTAAAATAATT